CCCGCCGGGCGCCCCCCCCCCCCCCGCCGCCCACGCCCACCCCGCCACAGCTTCCTCCGCTGCGGGGCCACAGCCTTGAGTGTCATTCAAGGGACAGCACAACCTCACCCAGGCTCTCCTACCTCTGCCCAGCCGTCCCTCTCATCCTCCCCCTTCCTCCGCCACACTCCATCCAAAGAAGAGGGAAAGCGCGGAGCAGAGGGGGAGAAAGGCAAAGTCTGCCACCTTCATCCCTTGGCCCCCTGGCTCTTCCATCCCGATTTTGACTCCCAAACCCTCTCTTCCTCAGAGGACCCCCAGGAACTGAGGCGAATCACCCTACTGCCATGTCCAAAAGCTTGAAAAAGAAAAGCCACTGGACTAGCAAAGTCCATGAGAGTGTCATTGGCAGGAGCCCAGAGGGCCAGCTGGGCTTTGAACTGAAGGGGGGCGCCGAAAACGGACAGTTCCCCTACCTGGGGGAGGTGAAGCCTGGCAAGGTGGCCTATGAAAGCGGCAGCAAGTTGGTATCCGAGGAGCTGCTGCTGGAGGTGAACGAGACCCCCGTGGCGGGGCTCACCATCAGGGATGTTCTAGCCGTGATCAAACACTGCAAGGACCCCCTCCGGCTCAAGTGTGTCAAGCAAGGTGAGCGCAGCTTGTTCGGTGTTTTGCCAGGCGGTGGGACCCCTGCGTGGGGAGGGCAATGAGAGGGTGGGCACGCGTGTTGGAAGGGTGTACCTTGCGCCACCGTGGGGTGGGGTCCAGGGAGAACTGTAACTGTGACAGGAGCATTAGTGGGACCGGGGCAGGGGGCTAATCGGCGGGTTAAGCCAGGTGGTGGTGTGGCAGGCAACTTAGTTTTGTGTAGTTGGATCCTCCCCTTTGGAAGGTGCTTGGCCTTGTCTGACCTCCTCAGAGCTCCAGGGCCAAATAGAATGTGCGTCAGTGGCATCGCCCACAGTGGATATAGAGCTTTCGGGGAAGCAAGGAGGCGAGGGGGGAGGGAGAAAGGAGGATGGAGCAACTTGAGGTGCAGAGGTGTCATTAGGGGGCTAAGGAGATGCTCTGAGCACTGGGACAAGGGAGAACGCTTGGAGTATATCCAAAGCTGGTCTGGAGACTCCTTGGTCCCCAGCAGGTCCCTAGAGATCGCTGAGCCACTGGCTGGCGAGGAAGGAAAGGGGAGAATTTGTTTGGACGCTTTGACCAGTGTTCGGTAACTTTTTCCCTCCTTCACTCCTCAGTCCTTCTCCCCCGCCCATGGTCATGTCATGTGGGCACCGAGAGTCACGTGTGGACTGACTAAACTCTAGAGATCGCCCCTAGCCAGCAGGCGGGAGGAGGTGCAGAGCCCAGGAAGCTGGGAGCTTTCTAGTGTTGGAGGGGAGACAGGCAGCGTTAGAAGGGTTCCCCAAAGTGTTCTTCATTGACTGGGATTTCCTCATTGACTGGTATTCCTTTGCGGTTGGGCTCTCGTCTAGCTCCAGATCTGGGGGCGTGTTTGTGGCATGTAGGTGGATTGGGAGGCAAGCTGGTTACAGCTCAGACTCCCTGTTTCCTAGCCTGGCTTTGCTGAGCCTCTTCCGGGGCTGTGATGTGGATTTAAGGAGATTGGAATCTTTCTGAAATGTCCACTGTATTTGCTTGAAAGAAAATTGTGGTCCTGTAGGAGGAAAGATTGAGAAAAAAGTTTCATTCGATGGCACTTCCAACTAAATGTAATGTGCTTTTGTTTTCCACACGAGGTGATGCAGTTTCCTGGGTGGCATTGGCCACAGATGTGTCTAATACATATCAGCATTATTGCTATAATGATTATTGTCTGTTGTTACTTTGTCCTGCCCCAAGGTTGAAATTCCGAGTATTAATGTGTTCTGAATTGCTAATCAATGCTGTGATCCGATTATGAAGAAATACTGCTAAGCAGTTTTTTTTTTTCACATAAATTTAATCGACAAAGTTTGTTTCAAAGAAAACGAGAGAAAAAGAAGGTTCACAAACTTTTCCAAAGCTAAATTGTCACGGAAGAAAAATCTTCACTGTAATTTCTTTGGTGCTCATCATATATTTTAGATTGCCTAATGTAAACATGCAGGGTTGTATGGCAAGCAAGAAGATGAGTTAGATAGTAGAGTATCCTGTTATTTTCCAGTGGGACATAATTGGAACTCAATTTCAGAGAGTTATGCTCACACACTTTATGTAATGATAATGCATAATAGCAATAGATACAAATGAGGGGTTCAAGGTTAGGGTCCAAGAAATCTACTACAATTAACCAAGAACCATGTTTTTGTGGTAACAATATTGGCATTTCTAATGGAAAGTGACTACAAAAGTTAACACTTTTTTAAACATCTTTTTTTATTTATATGTGTATGGTTTATGTATGTATGAATGAATACATCAACTATGGGCATACAGAAGTCAGAGAAAACACTTGTGAATCAGTTCTCCTCTACTACTTTGTGGGCCACAGGGATAGAAACAAGCCTTGGTGGTGAGTAGTCTCACCTGCCCAAGTCTATTAATATTCTATAGTGGTTCCACCTGATCACCTTTTCTTAAATGTTACATTTTTTCTGATGTCTGTATCTTGAGATATAATTTGGTCTACTTTAATACTAATAAACAGTAAGTGTGCCACCCCATCAAAGATCTAGTATTAGAAATTTAGTAATTGCAATCCAGAGAGACATTGAAAAGTGAGGGCATAAAAGTGCAAATTGAGAATCTGAGATAAAAATTGGAATTCTTATTATCCTGTGATAATGCACATGACAAAACTATGGTGAATTTGAGATGTCTTCATCTTGGGGAAGCATGATGGCTAACAGAGCAAATAATGAGAAAAGTTGTAAGTTGAGGATTCTCTTAGTTTGGATCTTCCCAAAGAAGTAGAAAGGTAGAAAGATCCGTGGGAGAAGAATCCTGTCTGGCCATGATTTTAGGTAAAGTTGATCTTGATCACTCAGTGTCTGTGTTGTGTTTTGACAGGAAGAGTGTAAGTTTTCAGATTCAGGGAAGTTACTTTTATGGAGCAGATATTTAGGTAAAGATCTTTCCACAGGATAAGAACCCTTGGTGTGTCAGCCTCCAGTTGTCCAGGGATAAACATTTACATCGTTCATCAGATGAATTACAATGGAAAGAAATAAATAGATTGCTTAATTAAACAGTATCTTTGGGGAAATCTATAATCCTCTTGTATATTTTTTTAAGTATAGTGATTTACATACACTCTCTTATGAAATGGTTCTTTTATCGGTGGTGATTAGATTTTTACCTGTAATTATAAAGATGAACATTGCAGAATATTAAATACAGATCTTGTGTTTCTTGGGTTTTGGTGAAGTTTGTACTGGTTTGAAAATTGGGTAGAAGTTCTTGGCTCAGTATTTATATTTCTGGACAGAAACAAGTAAAATAAAAAAAAACATTGCATAGTCAGAGAACTTAAAAATGGCTTGTTTGGACTTTGGTTTTTAAAATATTACTGAGATTTATTTGAAAAAATTTAGTCAAATATTGGACATTTTACAGAAACTCCATGCATGATTATAGCAAAAACTAGGGCGATTTTGTTAGAAATGAAGAAATATATGATAAAAGTACCTCGGATAAATTGCAATAATTACCCAAAACTTACTTACTTTTGGCTAATTTTACATTATAGTCATTATAGTTTAAATTATCCTATTTTAGGGAAATTGAGAAACTAATGTTTTAATGCATACTTAAGAAGACAGGTGTTTATAGCTTTTCTGGACAGTTTAAATGACTTAGAACCCATTAAAAAAACTTTTCAATAAAATTCAGCAGATTTCTCTCTCTATTTCATCATCTTTTAAAGTACAGGATAAATTCTAGATGAAAATTACCATTTATATTTATTGGTGATACTCTGTTGATTCTGTAAAACTCTCTTTTCATTTATAATAAGTGATCCTTACCAAGAGACTTAAAAGTGAGCCATGGTGCCTGTGTTCTCATTATTTCATAGGAGCCTCTTGGTGATGCTGAGATACAAATTGAAGTTGTCAATGTTCTTTTCTTGGTCTTTTTCTTCTAACTTTGCTGCTAAATTTCACAGCAGCTAGTACCATAGACCACCATATTGGTGCCCTACATTTCCTGGGTTATGGTTTCCCGATGCCTCTCAGACCACATAGGGACCTACACAGCCTGGATACATTTTTCCAATGTAATACCTCACAATGGAGAATAAAAGGCAGAACTTTTGTAATTCTTGCCATCTACAAGATGGACTATTACAAACCTTTGAACTTCATTTTCAGACAAGATCTATATCACTCTCTGTCCTATTGCTTCTTTCAAAGACACCTTCGAAGAGACCTAGATTTACAATTACTAAGGACTCCACTTTCCTCTTCACTGACTTCAGGCTAATAGCCTGCGTTAAACTTCCGTGCTGCCTTTAATTTTAGATAGGGAAATTCAAAGATGTCAATTTTGTTTGCCAGAAAAGAAATGATTTAATTCCATAGAATGTGAGTCATATGGATTTTGTATTCAGAAAATAATAAAATTGCTTGTTATACGGATCAGTTTAATATTTATCTAGTGGTGGGGTTCAAACCCAGGGCCTTGTATAGAATTAACAAATGACCCGTTATGGAGCTGTGTCCAGGAGTCTTTATTGTAACTACTGTAGACGAATGTTGGTTAATAAATAAGGAATCCTGCTTAAGCACAGTTATGGAAGATGCCACTGTGTTCCTACTGTCTGTAGACAGATTTTTACTGTTTAAATGGCATGACCTTGAATGTTAAGCATGAACATTCACTTGTTTCATGTGTTTGCTTTGCATGGGAATAGTCTTGGGGTGAAATGCCAGCTAAGGAATGTGAGTGCCACCACTTCTCCTCTTAGCATTTACACTGTGTAATTTTTTTGGCACATTCATTATGCTCAGTTTCCTTTTTAGTTGCTGCAAGCTCAACACATTCACTTTCATAATGAGGAAAAAAAATGTTTGTCCAAATGACATTTCTTGTTGCTTGCAGTTTAAACAAATGCCCAGCAGACCTTGGTGGCATCCTCTCCCTTCGGAAGTGGGAGAGAGCAGTGGTTAAATCTGCAATCTCCCTTCTAGATTATCTGGATTTGTATCCTGAGAATGCTTTTGATGACAGTTATAGGAACAAGTTTTCTAAATGAGTGAAGTAGCAGTTTCTTAAGAACACGAAATAACTGCTGGGAGTGTAATCTACAGGAATTATTCCCTGTCACGTGTAAGAGGTTGGATTCTAGCCCCAGCATTGTCAATAATCATTAGCTAAGTTACATTATAAATCATGCCTTAGTTTGTAGGTAGTAAGCATTATGTAAATTTTCACAAATCTTATTCTAAACATGTTGCTCATTTTGAGCTACTTCCATTAGTTTAAACTTTAAGATGTTTTTACATTATTTTTTTAAATTATATGTGTGTGGGCAGGCTTGAGTGGGTGGGTGTGCAAGTGAGTTCAAATGCCAATATAGGCCAAAATGTTGGAGGCCCCTGAAGTTTTGGGCTGCCTGGTATGGCTGCTGGGAATGAAACACAGGGCTTCTAAAGCAGCTTGAGTTCTGGATTCCTGAGCCCTCTTTCTGAGCCAAGGTTTCAAAATATTTTGCTCTA